ATGATTTCTGCTTCCTGAGTCTGGTAAAACCAGATGAATGGAGACTTTCTAAATTTTGGAACACACACACACATGAAAGAGAAGCCTGGAATCAGATCTATTCTTCACACTCCCAGAAATAACAGAGTGAAAAGAGGCAATATGCACAAACACACTTTTCCTGCAATCCGGTGTTAGAAGGGATCAATTCAGTGGTCACCAACATTCTGTGAATGTGGCTTGGTGGTAGAATGTTTGCTTAACAAGCATGAGGCCCTGGGTTCAATTCCTCAGTAACACATAAACAACAACAACAACAATTAGATTACTTCACCCATAATCCTAGCTTACTTAGAAGGCTGAGATGTTAGGGTCTCAATTCCCGGCAGACCTGAGCAGGAAAGCCCATGAAATTCTTATCTCTGATTAATCACTAAAGAAAAAAAAACAGAAGTGGAGCTGTGGCTCAAGTGGTGGAGCGCCAGCCTTGAGTGAAAAAGCTAAGAGGCAGTGCCCAAACCCTGAGTTCAAACCCTAGTGCCAGCACACACACACACACACACACACACACACACACACACACACACACTTTCTCTTTCTTGAGCAGGGGTGCTGGTTCTGGCGCTTGAACTTTTTCACTCAAGGCTAGTGCTCTACCACTTGATCCATAGCTCCACTTCTGGCTTTTTGGTGGTTAGTTGGAGACAGAGTCTCACAGACTTTCTTACCCAGGCTGGCTTCAAACCACAATCCTCAGATACTAACCTCCTGCCGGTGCCTGACCAGAAAACATTTCTTACCATCTTATTTTGGCCTCCATCTCCTCTCCCGCCACTTCCTCCATCTCCTGAGTGTTGCACTCCAAAGCACTTACCTGGTGTTTTTTATCCCCTCATTTATTTTCTTTGGTATTCACCTTTCACTATAGTGACCTCTCAATAAGGGTGGAATTTGTTGTCTGTTTTGCACTCTGCCATATCAGGGCAGAGCTGTGGGAGATCAGTATTATAGCTGCCTCCTGCATCTTCTACTTTCCTGCAATGCCCACTAGTGACTTCTTGGATACTTGTTCCCTGCTCTTAAAAATCAGGCCCCATGACCGGACCCAAAAAAAAAAAAAAATAAGGGTTGAGCTGTCGAAGCCTTTTTCTTGGTCCTGGATTCTCCCTCTTGTAAGCTTTATTGTTGCTCCCATTCCTGACTACAAGAAAGCAGCAAAAGCCCATGAATCTCCTAAGATTCAGGGAAGAGATGCCGTGGAACTGAACTGCAGGGAGGCAAATCCATGAACATCTTTGTTCCTCTCCCCTTCTGCGTCTCAGCCAGACCTTTGCTTTATTCGGGCCTCAGTCAAGCTGAAGTTTCACAAGTTTGAAAATACAGCAAATATAATCATCAGTGATCAGGAGCAAAAGTCATCAGATACCATCCACCATTGTCTGAGACACCCACCATAAACTAATTACAATCACTGGGCCAGGAATTTAGCTCAAAAGTTCTAGGCCTTCAGTCAGGGACAAGACTGGCCTATAATCCTAGGTACTCAAGAGACTGAGATCTGAGGATCTTGGTTTAAAGCCAATCCACGTGGGAAAGTCATTGAGGGGAAGATGGTCAGTCATGGGGCTTGAACTCAGGGCCTGGGTACTCTCCCTGAGCTTTTTCACTCAAGGCTAGCACTCTACCACTTTGAGCCACAGCATCATTTCTGGTTTTCTTATGGTTCATTGGAGATAAGAGTCTCATGGACTTTCCTGCCCAGGCTGGCTTTGAACCATGATCTTCAGATCTCAATCTCCTGAGTAGCTAGGATGACAGTGTGAGCCACCAGCAACCCAGCTTGTGAGACTCTTTTATCTCCAGCTAATCAGCAGAAGGTTGGAAGTGGAGCTGGGGCTCAAGTGGTAAAGTGCCATCCTTGAGCTTTCAAGGGACAGGGCCCAGGGCCTGAGTTCAAGCCCCAGTACCAACTCTCTTCCCTAAAGCAATTTACCAAAATTGAGCTTGCACCTCAGACTAAATTTAACAAAGCACACAGACCACATCCATGTTGGAAATGTTATTTTTTTTTTATTGCAAATTTGTGGTAAAAGAAAGAACTCGGAAGCTGATTGTCCTTGTAACTTGGGGAAGCAGAGTAATCTCCGGGTTGTAGCTGGGTAACCCCTCCCCTCCCCCACAAGGTCAGGGGGCCTTGACACACACTGATACCCGCCCCCTCCCCACAGACTCTGACTTGATGGGGGATGGGGGCTTCGGGGCATGAATAGCTTTTTAACCCCCACCCCATCGCACCCCCACCCCATCGCTCTGGATGGGGAGTTCCTAGAACAGCCCATAACATGGGGATGGCAAAATGGGGGGGCACACTGAGAAATTCAACTGAATCACCTGTTTACATCACCCCCTGGACCACCCTGCCCTCCCCCCACGCACCTCCTGCAGGCATCCGATATGCTGAGCCTCCCTCCATAGACCTCAGGGGAGAGAGAAGGGAAGGGGGCGTGGCGCTCTGATGTGGCTCATGCTGAATTGAGGAAACAGCCCTATGTCTATCTCTTTTTTGTCCTTGGAGTAGACAGAGATGACAAGATTTGGGCCAAGGAATGGTAAACCATACTGGATGACAGGGAGGGTCCATATATCACTTCTTCTGAATCCAAATTAGAAAAAAAAAAAAAAAAAGATCAAGTGATTAAGAATAAAAGAGCCCAGGAGCTGGCAGCTCACGCCTGTAATCCTAGCTAGTCAGGAGGCAGAGATCTAGAGGATCATAGTTCAAAGCCAGCCCAGGCAGAAGTGTCCGCAAGACTCCCATCTCCAAACTAACCAGCAAAAGAGCTCAAGCTAGTGCTATGGCTCAAATGGTAGAGTTCCAGCCTTGAGCAGAAAAAGCCAAGAGAGCGTGAGAAGCCCTGAGTTCAAGTCCCCCAGTACCTGCACAAAGACAAAACTAAATAAATAAAATATTCTGTACGTTACCAGCATATTTTATAGGAGTCAACAGTAAGAGCCAGTTCAATATTTCATTTTTAATTTGTCCTGAAATATAGAAAATGTTTTTATTTTCCTGAGTCCTTACAAACAGAATGACAAAATGGGATGGTTTTTATTGTTTCATTTTCACATAAAAAGGAAAAGCAGTGTTGTAAATATTTGTGTGCTCGCACAGTGCCCCGCCGTGAACCAACATCACAGGCCAAGTTTTCCATGACTTGTTAAATATGGTGTTTGACAGAACAGCCACACTCTACCAAGTTGCTCAGAGTGAACATTTTGACAGACATAGAAATGCAAATGCTGGGCGCTGAATGGTTCATGCCTGTGATCTTAGGGGAAACTTAGATCTGAAGATCACAGTTCAAAACCAGCCCGGTCAGGAAAGTCTATAAGACTCTTTATCTCAAATCACCAGCAAAATAGCAGTAGTAGAGCTATGACTCAAGTACTAGAGTGCCAGCCTTCAGCTGAAAAAGCCAAGCAAGAATGCAAGACCCTGAGTTCAAGCCCGAGTACCAGCACATAGTCTTTAAAAATGCAATATCCATTGGATTCATGGCCCATACAAAAAGTATGAATTTCTAGTTCATTAGTAATACTGAAAGATTTGCATCTTAACATTAATCAAAACACTAAGACATTAAAAGAAAAAAAAAAAAACAAGGCTGGGCACTGGTGGCTCATACCTGTAATCCTTCCTGTAATTTCAGCCTGAAGGCTGAGAAGTGAGGATCACGGTTCGAGGCCAGCTGGGGCAGGAAAGTCTGTGAGACTCTTCTCTCCAATGAACCACCAAAAAAGCCAGAAGTAGAGCTGTGGCTCAAGTGGTAGAGCACTAGCCTTGAGCAAAAAAGCTAAGGAACAGCGCCCAGGCCCTGAGTTCAAGCCCCAGTACCAACACACACACACACACACACATACACGCACACAATATGTATGTTCCCCCTTTTATGTAACTAGGATGCATTATCACACCTTTGACTTTGTTGGCAAAGCTTTTTATCAGGTATGGTGCTCTGGCATGATAAAACCAAGGCACAAGAACATAGTTACAGGGAGTATTTAGAAACCCCAGCACATTGCACCGATTTTGGAAGTATTTAGAGACATCATAAAGTCTGGAAAATTCTCCCATTCTGTTATAATAGAGGAATCACTGGTTGTACAATAAACTGATTGTGCAGCACGACTCCAATATTAAATATATGGCTATCATTATACAGGCTGTAGATAAATCAAAAATAGTTTTAAATATTAAAACCCAGTATATCTCTAGGTGGCGATAAACATTGTGCCTCCGATGATCTAGATCTTATGTTTCCATTTGGTTTACATGGCACTCATCAACTTTTTTAAACTATTTTCATTACATAAATGGTAGGCTTTTTGTTCTTGTTTAAAGTGTTAAATCTCTTCTTCTTTACAAAACACAGAAGATTTACAGGAAGATAATCAATATACAAAACACACACAAAACAGCAATAAAATCCAAACATGGCCTCAAAAATTGAGTTCTATTTGGGAATATTGTAGTAATTTAGGGAAAGGAGCAACACAATCTTGTGGCATCTCCTTTCGTTTCTTCATTTAAAAAAATTCCCCACAACATTTTTTTTTTCCAAAATAGCAAATTGTCTTGGCTAGAGCATCAGGCATTGAAAATCAATGAAGTCTTGTTGATCCTAAAATAAATAAGATTAAAGCCTTTCAAAATCTGATGGGAGCCAGGTGGCACCAGTGGCTCACACCTGTAATCCCAGCTACTCAGGAAGCTGAAATTTGAGGATGAAGTTTGAAGCCAGCCCAGGCAGGAAAAGTCTGGGAGATTCTTATCTCCAATGAACCACCAAAAAGCCAGAAGTGGAGCTGTGGTTCAAGTGGTAGAGCACTACCTGGAGCAAAAAAAAAAAAAAAAGCTCAGGGACAGTGTCCAGGCCCTGAGTTCAAGTCCCAGGTCCGGCACACACACACACACACACACACACACACACACACACCAAAAAAAAAATCTGACAGGGGTGAAGGAACTCCACTGAATTCAAAGAAGTCAAATCAAGTAGTAAAAATTGTATATCATATATTTATACAGAAAAAAAGAGGTGTATCCAAGACTCAAACATCGAGACCCATGAAAACGTATTTCTTGGCACATGCACGCCATGGACGGGACAGTCCTGAATGCAGAGGCGGCCTGGCTACTAAGGGATCAGGGTCCAAGCCTCACTAGCAAAACCATCTCTTCGGTCCCTGGCTGCGCTTTGTTCACATGGGCGCGTCCGGCTTCTGCATCTGTTGAATTTGCTTCTGTAGCTGGTCCCTATCCAGTTTCATCCTGGCCTCGAGAACTTGCCTGAGGGATCCTATGCTTTCATAGATGGCTGTAAACCCTTCAAGAAAAGAGAAATTTCAAAAGAGTTAGTGTTTGAAAAGGAATACATTAAGCCCAGCACTGGTGGCTCACACCTATATAGTCCTAGCTACTCAGAAGGCTCAGATCTGAGGATCGTGGTTTGAAGTCAGCTTGGGCAGGAAAGTCCATGAGACTCTTATCTCCAAGGAACCACCAAAAAGTCAGAAGGCGAGCTGTGGCTCAAGTTGCAGAATACCAGCCTTAAGCAAAAAGAAAAGGTCAGGGACAGCATCCAGGCCCTGAGTTCAAGCCCCAGGACCAGCAAAAATTAAAAAAATAAAGTAAAAGAGGATATGTGGGGGAGGGGGCTCAGTGGTAGAGCGCTTGCCTTGCATGCCTGAGGCCCTAGGTTCGATTCCTCAGCACCACATAAGCAGAAAAAGCCGGAAGTGGTGCTATAGCTCAAATGGTAGAGCGCTCACCTTGAGCTGAAGAGCTGAGGGACAGTGCCCAGGCCCAGAGTTCAGGCCCCGCAACCAACAAAAAAACAAAAGGAAGGAAGGAGGGAGGGAGGGGGGGGAGGAGAACAAAGAAGATAAAGCAAGTGTTTTGTTTGGGACTTACCGGCATTCACTTCTGCCCTCATTTCCTTTATGTCTTCATTCATCTGGAGCTCCAGCTTGCTGATCCGCCCCTGCACCTTCTCCTCCTCCTGCTTGCTCCTGTGTCCTTCCATATTCTTCTTTTGACTCTCTTCGATTTTGTCAAGCCTGGCTGACATCTGGCTGAGCTTCCTCTCCATGTCCCTTTCACTGGCTCCCTGAGGGGCCCCGGAAAGAATTAGACTTGGTTATTGCAGAAACACAGTCTACACAGTGTTGCCAGGCACTGGTGGCTCACACCTATAATCTTAGCTAATCAGAAGGTTGAGACCTGAGGATCACAGTTCAAAGCCAGCCCGGGGCAGGAAAGTCTATGAGACTCTTATCTCCAATTAACTACCCAAAACAAAATGCTGGAAGTGGTGCTGTGGCTCAAATGGCAAAGCACTAACTAACCTTGAGGAAAAGAAGCTCAGGGATAACACCCAGGCCCTGAGTTCAAGTCCCAGAACTGGCAGGCAGGCATGCACACACACACACACACACACACACACACACACAACACACACACACACAAATGTGAGCCATGAAAACAGATTCAAAGGCAAGAAATAATTGCCTGCTTAATTTAGGTGGTTACAAATAAATTAATGGTCAGTTGCTAGGTATGGGTCAATCTTGTAGCCACCCCCACCACTGGATATAACTGCTAAATCATTAGCAAACATCAATACCTACACTGTTTTCCTTTATAACCAAAGAAAGCTGATCTATTTTCTGTAAAAGTTCTTTTTCTATCCGTTCTTGCTCCTGTTGCAACCAACTCCGTGCAGATAAAATCTGGTTACTGAGTTCTTCCACTGTACCTTTAAATCTAAAATAAGATGATAAAATAAAATGAGAAGCAGATAAACAAGTTGATTGTTAAATGAATTTTAGGTAACATTGAACAACTTCAATATATGTCTATTGGGTTTTTGATGACTAATACACATACCTGCATAAAACCCTGTCCCACCAAAAATGACATTTATGTTTTCTAGGATTGCCCTTGGCACTAAGTTGGGAAGTTTGGAGGCCAGGAGGATAAAAAAGAAAAAAGAACCTGATGATTTGAGCACTAGTTGCTCATGCCTGTAATCCTAGCGACTCAAGAGTCTGAGGTCTGAATGTCACAGTTCCAGGACAGACAAGCAAGGAAGTGTGTGAGACTTTTATTTCCACTTAAGTACCAAAATGCCAGGAGTGGTGCTATGGCTTAAGTGGTAGAGCACCAGCCTTGAATGAAAAAGCTAAGAGACAGTGCCCAAGCCTGGAGTTCAAGCCCCAATATCATCATCAATCAATAAGAAGGAAAATAGGAGGAATTCTTCTAACCTTCTATTCCTCCAATCCTTTCCCTTTCCAAAGTCTTAGTATTTTTTCTTATTTTTATTATTATAATATACAATGGAAGCATAGAATAATATATACAGTATAGGTATGTGATTCAGTCATAATGATAACAAACACTCACTGGAGTGCAGCTAAGTCTTGTGACACCTGTTTTCTTGTTCTTTATAAGAAATTAGCAAAGTTGAGAGCTGGAAGTGGTGCACCACTTATATAGTGATAGAACACTAGCCTTGAGCAAAAGGATCTTAGGGTCAGTGCTTGGGCCCAAAGTTCAAGGCCCAGAACCAGAAAAAGAAAAAAAAAGGCTGGGAACCAGTTGATTATACCTGTAATCCTAGCTACTTGAGGCTGAGATCTGGAAATCATCGTTCAAAGCCAGCTTGGGCAGGAAAGTCCATGAGACTTTTTTTTTGGGGGGGGGGAGGGTCTGGTTGTGGGGCCTGAACTCTGGGCCTGGGCGCTGTCCCTCAGCTCTTCAGCTCAAGGATAGTGCTCTATCACTTGAGCCACAGCGCCACTTCCGGCTTTTTTCTTTTAGCTTATGTGGTGCTGAGGAATCGAACCCAGAGCCTCATGCATGCAAGGCAAGTGCTCTACCACTGAGCCACCTTTCCAGCCCATCTAGTCACATCCTTTAAAACAAAGCAATGGTCAGGCGCTGGTGGCTCACGCCTGTAATCCTAGCTACTCAGTAGGCTGAGATCTGAGGATCTTGGTTCAAAGCCAGCCCAGGCAGGAAAGCCTCTGAGATTCTTATCTCCAATAAACCATGCAGAAAACTGAAAGTGGCTCTGTGGCTCAAGTGGTAGAGCACTATCCTTGAGCTGAAGAGCTGAGGGACAGCCCCTAGGCCCAGAGTTCAAGCCCCACAACCGACAAAAAACAAAACAACAATAACAAAAAAAACAAAGCTATGGATCGATTCTTATATCCAGCTAGAGCTGGGGCATCAGTGAACACCACACTGCCATTGTCCTGGTTTCTTGCCTTGGAACCACTGATCTTAGAGTTACACTGCAGCCACAGCAATGGATCTAGCTCGTTCCTAAAATAATATCACCCAGTCAGCTTACAACCTTGGAACCATGTTTATCTGAAGAATTTCTCCATCATTTGATTCAAGTTATCCTTTGGCAAAAATATCCTCTGTGTGTGTGTGTGTGTGTGTGTGTGTGTGTGTGTGTGTGTGTGTTTTCTATCAGATTATCTCAGGTGATTTCAGATGGGGTGCATTCCATCAGATCACGTGATGTTGGGAGAAATTTAAAAAAAAAAACAACCTATAGTGTGGCATAAAGTCAGAGTTTATACAACTGACAACTGGTTTTAATGAACAGATTCCTTACTTAGTATCCAAAAGCTGAAGCTGGTGATTACTGTCTCTGTGAGACATCTTCAATTTGGTGCTCTGCTCGGAGATCGACAAATCCACTCTGTTCAAAAGCTGAGAAATCTGGAAGAGAAGGTTTGTTCGTAAATATCACACCTCAGGAAAACATCTCATAAGCTCTATGTGAACCAATGGCAGCAAGATCCAACTCAGTGAGTCCATTAGGAATTCACCTCGTGTTTCCACTTCCATTTTCCTATTTAAACACCCATGAAAAGCCAAAGCTGGGCGCTCTGCCAAAACACTGCACACCCTCAGCCCTAAACTTCACACTTCCCTAGCGAGGGGGCCACAGTGCTGCCAGGAGCAGCTCTTCGATCAATTGGCACGAACCAAGTCATCTTTACCTTGGGATTTCAACCATCGCCGTGGCTACAACTCACAAGGAGTTCAATTTCAGTCACTTACAAAAATCCATCCTAGTTAGGTACCTGTGGCTCACACCTGTAATCCTAGCTACTCAGGAGGCAGAGATTTGAGGATCATGGTTTGAAGCCAGCCCAGGAAGAAAAATCTGTGAGACTCTTATCTTTAGTTAGCCAGCAAAAACAACAACAAAAAAGTGGAGTTCTGGCTCAAGTGGTAGAGTACCACTTTGCCTTGAGCCAAAAAAGCTAATTGACAGAACCCAGGCCCTGAGTTCAATCCCCAGGACTGATGTATGCGGGCGCGCAAGCGCATGCGCGCACACACACACACACACACACACACACACACACACATCCATCCAGGTGACAGATTTAGTCTATATCAAGTCTATTCAGCAGTGAAGACCCCTGTACCCCTCCTGATCCTTTCTCCTACTGCCTACCCATGTCTCTTGGCTTTTGACCAAAATTCATGTGAAGTGTTCACATTTTCCACAAGAACTACAATGGTCCAGATGTGACATTCATCCTATTCAGAACAAAGAACAAAGCATGTGTCTGATGGTTTTCTGTATTTTACTTGGCTGGGTTGCGGGCAAACAAGATTTCCTTATTTCTTTGCATTTATTTTCTGGTATAATAATTGTAGCCTTACCTGTTCTTTAAAAACAAAAAGGACCTGTCTTTTAATTTTTTCGTCATAGTTTTATAGTATCTAGTTTTGTTTTTTATATCAGTAGCTTCAAATCTTTTTTTTTTCTTTTTTTTTTTTTTGGGTCGGTCGTGGAGCCTGAACTCTGGGCCTGGGCGCTGTCCCTCAGCTCTTCAGCTCAAGGCTAGCGCTCTACCACTTGAGCCACAGCACCACTTCCGGCTTTTTTCTTTTTGCTTATGTGGTGCTGAGGAATTGAACCCAGGGCCTCAGGCATGCAAGGCAAGCGCTCTATCACTGAGCCACCTTCCCAGTCCAGCTTCAAATCTTTACTGGAGGTAGTTAAGAGATAAGTTTATCCCTCCCTCTCTCCCTCCCTCCCTTTTTCCTTCCCTTCTTCCCTCCCTCCCTTCCTTCTTGCCTGCCTTCCTTTCTTTCTTTCCTTCCTTCCTTCCCTCCCTCCTTTCTTTCTTTCTTTCTATCTTTCTTTCTGTCCTAGGGTTTGAACTCTGGGTCTGGGTGCTGTCCCTGAGCTTTTTTACTCAAGGATAGTGCTCTATCACTTGAGCCACAGAGCCACTTTCAGTTTTCTGCATGGTTTATTGGAGATAAGAGACTCTCAGGCTTTCCTGCTTGGGCTGGCTCCACACTGCGATCCTCACATCTCAGCCTCCTGGGTAGCTAGGATTATAGGCGTGAGCCATTGGCATCCAGCTAGGAGATGGTTTTAGAGGTGAAATTTACAATTTGGGGGATATAATAATTGTCTTAGGAATCAGGGGAAAATAATCTTCACAATTAGAACTGAACTGAAAAAAATTTTTGGTAATTTGGTTGTCGGATTCAGGAAGGGAACGCCAAAGAAAGAGGAAAAGGGAGAAGGGAAATGAGATGTTTATGGTTTTTTGATTTGCATAAACCCATGCTGGGGGCCTCAGCCCATTTCTCCTGCATGAAATATTCCATGTCACGATATTCTTAGCTGACAATCAATTCCCCGCTTTTAAAAGCTACCTGAAACGGGCCTCACCTGTCCTTCGGCATCTTTGATTTTCGTTTCCAAGATCAGTTTGGCAGCTTGTTGCTCCTTGTTCAAATGCTGGAGACCTTCGTAGGTGGTCTTGTGTTCGGCTGAAAGTCTAGCTATGCTGGCATCACACCTGTGCAGGAAACAGTGAAGCTGTTTCTTGTGAAAGAAAGGGTTAACATATGCACAAAAGCTGCCTGACAGACTAGGAAGCGCAAAGCCCCATTCAGACAAACTGTACAGTCCTTCAGATTTTGTAAATGTGTGTGTGTGTGTGTGTGTGTGTGTGTGTGTGTGTGTTCACACATGCGCAGTCCAGGGACTTGAACTCAGGGCTTTGTAATCTTGCTTAGCTTTTGCACTCAAGGCTAGCACTCTACCACTTGAGCCATAGCCCCACTTCCAGATTTCTGGTGGTTAGTTGGAGATGAGTCTCACAGACTCAATCTAGGAAGGCTGGCTTTGAGCTGATCCTCAGATCTCAACCTCCTGAGTAGCTAGGATTACAGGCATGAGCCACCAGTATCTAGCTTCCATCAAGCGTTTTAACAAGGTTCGAGAGCTTTCACAGAGTTGCCCTCCATTCGATATCATAATCAAGGGAAAATTATTCCAGGAGTATGGGTTCATTTTGACAACAGGAAAGCAATAATTTAATATGCCAAAATAGGCCAAGCCACCCTTAGCACCTCAGTACATGGAGAAAAAGCATTTGACAAATTCCCACATTTCTCTCCCTACCCCCTACAAGTGCTAGAGTTTGAACTCAGGGCCTTAGAGTTGCGTAGCATTCTTTCTTGGCTTTCCTGCTGAGGGATGGTGCTCTACCACTTAGGCCACACCTTCAGCCCTGGTTTTTGTTATATAGCTCAAGTGGTAGAGTGCCAGCCTTGAAGTGAAAAAAAGAAAACTAAAGGATAGCATACAGGCCCTAAGTACCAGCACCAAAAAGGAAAAAACTTTTTAAATTCATACTCCTTTAAAACAATTATATAATCAATGCAAGAAAGTCAAACTTCTGCCAGACTTTTTATTTCACATATATTCATGTCAACCATCAAAGTCTCATTAGGATTCCAAGAGAAAGACAAATATAGCCACAAAACAAAGCAAAGCATATCTGGTGCTCATAATAAACATTTTTGATGGGTTTTGGGTAACATTTGTTACAGAAAGGAACAAGTTGACAAGAAAAGAATGACAACTTCAGAGAAACTGAAGAATGTACGATCCCTGAACATATTTCAAGCTGGTTTCTCTACTTTGTATTACATCCAGTGTCATAAGAATAATTGGAAGTTGGGAGCTGGTGGCTCATGCCTGTAATCCTAGCAACTCAAGGAGGCTGAGATCTAAGGATCCTGATTCAAAGCCAAATGGGGTAGGAAAGTCTGTGAGAACTCTTATCTCTGATTAACCATCTAAAAAAGCAGAAGTGGAACTATGGCTCAAGTGGTAGAGCACCAGCCTTGAGCAAAAAAGTTAAAGCCCTGGTCGTGAGTTCAAGTCCAGGATCTAGCATACACACACACAAATCCAACAATAACAAAAACCCCGCTTTTAGTCACGCATACCTAGCATTGAAGACCCTAATCCTGGAGTCTGCACAGATACACCCTGCTTCAACCCATCCTCTCCTTTCTTCCACCCTGACTCTTTGCAAGGACTCTTGGATCATCAAGGGCTGATTTCTTGAGCCCATTCACTCCACAAACAAGGACTTGTGGCTGCACTTGCCACCGAGGAACAGCAGGGGGCAGGAGAGGCCCATACGTAGCATAGATCATTAACTCTGGACTGTCCTTGTTCAGGAAGTAGTTTGTGAAGAAACCCTAAGTTCAAGCTCCATTAGCATCCAAAATAAATATTTTTTTTAAGTCCAACTCTGTATTGTTTGATTCAGTAAAATATGATCACCTTACTAAGTGGCACACTAGTGGAGGGAGCTTTCTCTCATTTTCCTCCAGCAAAGACAGAGCCAGCTCCAGAAACCCAAGAAATCGTGGCAGAACCACCACCAAGTCAGACTCTACTACCAGCCTTTATGGGTGAAATGAGAATGGATAGAGCAAAAAGAAGTTGGGAGCTGGCCGCTGCAGGCTCACGCCTGTCATCCTAGCTACTCCGGGGGGCTGAGATCTGAGGATCTTGGTTTGAAGTCAGCCTGGGCAGGAAAGTCTGTAAGACTCTTATCTCTGACTAACCAGCAATGGAGGTTAATTGGCTCTGTCCTTTTAAACTTTTTTGCTCAAGGCTGGTGCTCTACCACTTGAGCCATAGCTCCATTTCCACCTTTTTAGTCTGTGAGACTCTTATCTCCAATGAACCACCAGAAAACCAGATGTGGTGCTGTGGCTCAAAGTGGTAGAGAGCTAGCCTTGAGCAGAAAAGCTCAGGGATAGCACCCAAGCCCTATGACTGACCAAAAAACCAGGTACCATAGTTCACACCTGTAATCTAGCTACTCAGGAGGCTGAGACCTGGCAGTTCACAGCCAGCCTGTGTAGAAAAGCCTTTAAGAGTCCATTTTCAAATAATCAGCAAAAAGCTCGGCTAGAGGCATGACTCGGGGTAGAGCACCAGCTGTGAGCAAAAATCTGAGCAAGTACAAGGCCTTGAGTTCAAACTTTACTACCCCCTCCCAAAAAAAAAGAAAAAATGAAAGACTGTAGGGTACATGATTAAGGGGTCATTATTGTATTCCCCACTAAAATGTTGTTTATAGGAAACAAAAGTGCTGTTCATTGTTGTTGTCGCCGTTTAGGTTTTTCAAGACAAGGTTCTTCTCTATAGCCCAAGGCTGGCATTGAACTTGAGATCCCCCTGCCTTAGTTCCCCCAGTGCTAGGATGACTGGTTTGTACCAAGTTGAGAAACATCTTAATAAGCAGAAGCGCCCAAAGCTGAGCCTACCGTGCCACTCTTCCCCGGAGATCTCCCAAACCCGACAGCTGGCGCAGCTCCAGGGTCTTTAAGGCAGAATTCGTTCCATAGCTAATATTGTCCCTGGCTCGGATCTGTTCCTGGAGGACCTGGGCGACAGCAAAACCACACAGGGGGTTGTTTTGTGCATTCATAGACAAACAGAAGCATGGTGCGCGCGCGCTCATCCTGGGGCTTGAACTCAGGGCCCAAGTGCTGTCCTGTAGCTTTTTTTTTTGGGGGGGGGACTTGAACTCTGGGCCTGGGCGCTGTCCCTCAGCTCTTCAGCTCAAGGCTAGCACTCTACCACTTGAACCACAGCGCCACTTCCGGCTTTTTTCTTTTTGCTTATGTGATGCTGAGGAATCGAACCCAGGGCCTCAGGCATGCAAGGCAAGCACTCTACCACTGAGCCACCTTCCCAGCCCTTCCTTAGCTTTTTTGCTCAAGAGTTTCACTGACTTTCACCCCTAGGCTTTGAACCATGGTCCTCAGATCTCAGCCTTCTGAGTAGCTAGGATTACAGGCGTGAACCACCAGCATTGGCACAAAAGTTTCTTTTCTTTTTTTTGTCCACTTTGGGAAAAAGAATCTATAACCTGAGCCAGGGTTCAAGCTGAATGGTTGAACCAAATGAATGCCTAGCTTTCCTCCAGGTGATTCGGGTGGCTGTGAACGGCCAGGTCTCAGCCTCCTGAGTAGCTAGATCACAGGTGTGAACTGTGATACCTGGTTTCCTAATTATTTTTTGTCAGTCATGGGGCTTGAACTTGGGGCTTGGGTGCTATCCCTGAGCTTTTCTGCTTAAGGCTAGCTCTCTACCACTTTAAGCCACAGCACCACATCTGGTTTTCTGGTGGTTCATTGGAGATTAATCTCCCTCCTAGGGCCCCTGACGGCTGGCACATGAAAACTTGTACCATTTATTCGGGAGTGACATGGTGACTAGCCCGCCATCTTGCCGACCTCCAGCCCATGCAGGAGGTTATCTGAGCATGTTCTGCTTATCTGCCTGTGACTGCATTTCTAGGAATCATGGTTGGTAATGCTTCCCCAAACAAACAAGGAAGCCAACTCAAGGTGATGCAATTTTGCGGACATCAAATGGTTTTGTGTTCCTGTTCTTAATGACTTATGATTTTCTTTTGATTTGTTTTTTTTTTGGGGGGGTGGAGTTGCTATACATTCACAAAAAGTTAACTTACAGCCAGGTACCAGTGGCTCACGTCTGCAATCCTAGCTACTGAAGAAACAGAGTTGAGGATCACACTTCAAAGCTAACCGCAGGCAGGAAAATCCCTGAGATGCTTAACTCCACTTAACCACCAAAAACCCCAAAAAAGCTGGAAGTAGAGCTGGGGCTCAAGTGGTAGAGTGTCAGGCTTGAACACAAAAGCTCAGGGGCAGCACCTAGGCCCTGAGTTCAAGCCCCACAATGGCCACACACATCTTAAAAATTAAGAAGTGCATTTGGGCTGGGAAGGTGACTTAGTGGTAGAGCGCTTGCCTCACATGCATGAAGCCCTGGGTTCCATTCCTTAGTACCACATACACAGAAAAAGCCAGAAGTGACACTGTGGCTCAACTGGTAGAGTGCTAGCTTTGAACAAAAGCAGCTCAGGGACAGTGCCTAGGCCCTGAGTTCAGGCCCCAAAACTGGCAAAAACAAACAAAAAAGTACACTTATGTATATTTTTCAGATTTTGCAAACTTCCTAGTGAAAAGGAGAAAACGTGAAGATAACTGCTCTGATAGGGACCGCTGTGGACAGAGTGATCATGACAATAAAACATGTCTCACTCAGGTGTGGCTCAACTGGTAGAGCACCAGCCTTGAGTGAAAAAGCTAAGAGACAGTACCCAGGCCCTGAGTTCAAGTCCCAGGACTAGCATGAAAAAAAAATGGAATTCTGCACCTGTTCTTTCTTATTCTTTTAAGCTTTTACTTTTGTTTTGATGGTCTTGGAGTTTGAACTCAGAACTTTGGGCTTGCTAAGCAGGGGCTGTATTGCTTGAGCTATGTATATTTGTCAGTCCTTTTTTAACTTGTTGTGTGAGGGAGGGGTGTGTGTGTGTGTGTGTGTGTGTGTGTATGTGTGTGTGTGTGCTGGGCTTAAACTCAGTCTCTCCTTGCATAGTGTTTTTTGTTCAAGGCTGTCACTCTACCACTTAAGCCATGTCTCCACTTCTAGCTTTTTGCTAGTGAATTGGAGATAAGAGGCTCTCAGATTTGTCTGCCTAGGTTGGCCTCAGATCTTGATCATCAGATCTCAGCCTCTTGAATAACTAGGATTACAAGCATACTCCGGTTTCTCTTCTGATCGTAGAAATCTTTCGCCTTTTACAAGGATTACAGGCATGAACCCTCCGTACCCAGCTACTTTTTTCCCCCCAGATAGCATGGCTCTTTTTGCCCAGTGTTGGCTGGCCTCTGACCTTCATCCTCCTTACTCTAGCCTCCCACAGCTAGGATCACAGATGTATGACACTGCGCCAGCTTATTAACTGAGATGGGAGGCATCTCAATAACATTTTTTGCCTGGGCTAGCCTCAAACCTCAATTCTCCCAGGCTTCAAGTACTTGGGGATTTCCAATGCCCAACTTTTTCTGAATGAACTTGCTTAAGGAGTAAGAATGAAAAACGAGCTACAATCACCTCTGAATGACAAAACATTAGTCATCTGAACGCATTCCTGCAAGGGAACTTCAGATCTGACTAATTCTCTGGCACTCTCCCACTGGCTAGACAGCCTTGGTGAGCGAGCGCTCTCCCTTAATAGCAAGTGACACCTATACAGTTTATAGCAGGCAACACTAATTCATTCTCTGTGGAACTCTTTGAACATTTGTCCATAATATGACATTAAAACAGAGGCCCTCAGCTCCATGCTGGTGGCTCACGCCTGTCCTCCTAGCTACTCAGGAGGCTGAGACGTGAGGATCATGGTTCAAAGCCAGCCTGGGTAGGTAGGAAAGTCCATGAGACTTCCTTTTTATTTTGCCAGTCTTGGCTTGAGCTCTAGGCCTGAGCACTGTCCCTGAGCTACTCTTTGCTCAAGGCTAGCACTCTATCCTTTGAGCCACAGTACCACTTCCAGCCTTTTCTGTTTATGTGGTACTGAGGAATCAAACCCAGGGCCTCATTCGTGCTAGGCAAGCACTCTTACCACTAAGCCACATTCCCGGCCCTCTATGAAACACTTATCTCTACTAAACTACCAAAAGCCACAAGTGGAGCTACGGCTCAAGTGGCAAAGCACCAGCCTTGAGCAAGAAAAAGCTCACGAGACAGCACCCAGGCCCTGAGTTCAAGCCCCGGGATACACACACACACACACACACACACACACACACACACCAAGGAAGAATACATAGTTTTCTATTAAGCATAAAGGGCATGAAATAAAGCTACTGTGTGATGCCAGCTACCTGTTAAGAACCCTTCAAAGTACTAGAATGTTCCCATTTTGCTTTTCTCTGGAGGGAAATTATGCTGGATTCCTCATTTTTGCATTTCCCACAAAGAACATACATTTCTTTTATAACCAGGGGAAAAAAGAATGCTTTTTTTAATGCTTAGAAACAAGAAAATCCCATTTGATTTTTAGAATTCTTATGCAGAAAAACAAGATATTATATTAGAGATGCTTTGAACCATACAGAAATTAAATGCAATCACAAAACAAAAAGCACTAAATCTGGCTTCAAAGAGTAGTCACAAGAGTGAAAAAGATAAAAAAAAACAAAACAGAGCTTCAAATTTCAGGTAACTCTAAAATGAAGCATTAGAAAAGCAATCCTTGTATAAAGTCAGGACTGTGCCTGAATTTGTCATTGGACAATAATCCATCATGCTCACACACTCACTTGATAATTACTATGTCCATAAGTAGCTCGTTAAATCTCCATTATTGCCAGTAGTAGAAGCTGTGTTTTGCCCGCCTACTCTGCAGAGCCCTGGGTAGGAAACTGATTTGCAGCAGGAGAAACTACAGGTAGATAAGTGCACAACCACACCCATGCACAGAGAAGAGGCCACCATCTTGAAAAGCAGACACCAGTCTGGGGCTTGAACTCAGAGCCTGTGCACTGATCCTAAGCTTTTGTGCTTAACGCTGGTGCTCTACCACTTGATCCACAACTCCACTTCAGGCATTTTGGTGGTACATGAGAGATAAGAGTCTCATAGACTTTTCTGGCTGGGGTTGGTTTTGAACGATGATCCTCAGATCTCAGCCTCCTAAGGAGCTAAGATTAGAGGCGTGAGCCATCATACCTGGCTTAACAAGAAGATCACATGATAGCCATCATGCTGAGCCTCTCCCCTCTCCGTCCTCCACCCCTCCCCCCCTCCCCCCCCCCTCCTTCCCCCCTCCCTCTCCCCCCACCCCCAAGCCACCAGACAGGATGTCATCATCCAGAAACAGAGAACGAAGGAATGAGATAATTCCAATATGGCCACTGGAAGGCCCACCTGCAGGGTGCAGATCCTCATAGATCTGCTCCCCAGTTCCATACGGGAACTGGAAGTTCCCCACAGCTCCAGCCTTATGGATGGCATTTATTCCCACCTGGGAATTTGCAGAGCCGAGTGCCCAAATAGAAGTGTGGCCCTCCAACACACAGGAAGTCCAGTCATCCTTTCCTCCACACCCCCAAATCCACCCACTTCCTCCCCTGACTCTCACAGTTCCCTGAATTTCACCAGAGCCCCAATTCGTGATGCTGCATCCATTCCTCTTTCGTTTTTCTGAGGAGCCGGGGATGGAACCCGGGTACTGGAGCATGCCAGCCCCGCACTCTGCCTCTAGGCCATGGCCCAGGCCTCCCTGCTTCCTTCCCCCAACAACTTTGCAGTCGACACGATCAGTAACTGTAAGTCAGTCTGCAAGCTGGATGAATGCAAGGACTGTGTGTGTGTGTGTGTGTGTGTGCGTGTGTGTGTGTGTGTGTGTGTGTGTCTGTATGTTGGTTCTGAGGCTTGAACTCAGGGCCTGTGCGCTTTTCTTTTTGCTCAAAGCTGGTGTTCTACCACTTGAACCACAGCTCTATTTCTGCATTTCCTGGTGGTTTATTGGAGCTAAGAATCTCAAGCCAGGAGCCAGTGGCTCCTATAATCCTAGCTACTCAGGAGGCTGACATCTGAGGATCATGGTTCAAAGCCAGCCTGGGCAGGAAAATCTGTGAGACTCTTATCCCCAATTAACTACCAGAAAACCGGAAGTGCTGCTGTGGCTTAAGTGATAGAGTGCTAGCCTTAGACTGAAGAGCTCAGGGACAGTGCCTAGGCCCAGAGTTCAAGCCCCATGACTGACCCAAAAACTAAATAAATAAAGAGAATCTGACAGACTTTTTACCCAGCCTGGCTTTGAACCCAGATCCTCAGATCTCAGCCTCCTCAGTAGCTAGGGTGACAGGAGTGAGCCACCAGTGCCCAACTCCACAGTCAGTTTGAACATCCTGACCCATTCATGTGGGTGCCGAGTTCCTGACGCCATCATCTCCCTCCCCCTTCAAAGTCCCCACTGATGGGTCCCTCTGTGGGGATCCAGTCTGAACATGGATTTGGGATGAATACCATCTTTTGAACCATGACAAATGTTTAGGTAAATAAAGCCCCCCATTAGAATGAGCACCTTTATAGACATGCAAGTAGCAATAAAGGCCTAAAAGACTCTCAGAGGAAAGGCATGGTGGTATACACCTGTAATCCCAGCATTGAAGAGACTGAGGCAAGAGGATTAGGAATTTGAGGCCAGCCGGGGCTACAAAGCAAGACCCACTTCAAAGCACATCCCTTTCAGAGAGGCCCCACTTCAAAGCACATCCCTTTCAGAGAGGCCCCACTTCAAAGCACATCCCTTTCAGAGAGGCCCGAGGGAGTAGCCTGAAGGTTCAAGACCTGTTAGTGACAATACTGAGATTAAACGGTGAGATATTAAGCTCCTTAAATGTCCTTCCTTCCTTCTTTCCTTCCTTCCTTCCTTCTTCCTTCCTTCTCTTTTCTTTTCTTGTCTTTCTTTCTTTTTTTGCCAGTCCTTGAACTCAGGGCCTGGGCACTGTCTCTGCGCTTCTTTTGCTCAAGGCTAATATGCTACCCTTTGAGCCACGGCACCACTTCTGGCTTTCTCTGTTTATGTGGTACTGAAGAATCAAACCCAGGGTTTCATACATGCTAGGCAAACACGCTACCACTAAGCCACATTCCCAGCCCCCACTGCATTTACTTTCCCTTCTCTACTTTGCTTCTTGGGAGCTCTGTCAGAAGCCTGAGCCTAGATAACCAATGTGAGAGGCAGGGCTATGAACCATTCTCTACTTTTGCCCCTGCTGGCCATTCTAGGTGATGTGAAGCGAGGTGATTCTAGCTTGAGTTCTTAGTTTCACTCAAACTACTTTCATACTTAGGGTGATTGGATTCTTAGGAATCCAGAGTTATCAATCATTTTGTGATTTTGCCTGCTCCTCGTCCCTTCCACCCTCTCTCTCTGGCACACAGGTTTTCTTTCTTTTCTTCAGTGCTGGGGGTTAGAACCCAGGGGGATGTGCATGCTAGGCAAGTGCTCTGCCACTTAGCTACATTCCCAGACTAGCAATCATACTTTTTTAAGGTGCTTTCTCTTTGGCTTTTAGTACTAGGGATTGAACCCAGGACCTCATGCTTGCTAGACAAATGCTCTACCACTTAAGCTGAATCCCCAAGTCCTTTTAAAGACACTTTTTGAACAGTTTACAATGCAGTGAGTTTGAAATTGCAGATTTGTTGGTTTTCCCACATCCGAAACACATTTTATGTAATGATTATTCTTGCTGGTCCAGACAGCACTGCTTTGCATTTACTTGTATTTTTAGAGTATGCAAATTTTGCAGCTGAAAAGATGGTTTCTATTGTAGAGAGAGAAAACTGAGTAAAATCTAATTGGGGCAAAAAGTGCTTACTTTGGATATTTGAATGTTTACCTTGTGTGTATGTGTGTTAAGTTTTGTTGTTGTTTTCTAGACCTGAGGCTTGAACTCAGGGCCTGGCCACTGTGTTGTCCCTGAGCTTCTTTTGCTCAAGGCTGGCACTCTACCACTTGAGCTACAACCCTACTTCTGGGTTTTTGGTGGGAAGTTGGAGATAAGTCACCACAGACTTGAGTTCGAAGCCTTCAAACTGTGATCCTCCTGAGTAGCTTGGATTACAGGTGTGAGCCACGAGAGCCCAGCTAGGAGTTGCCTTTTGATGTAAAATGTATCATTAATTATTTAGTCTTCAGAAACTTTCCATAAAGCATCATCATTATAAATTTAGAAGAGCTGTCATCCAGGCAATGATGAATTATGGATTATCCACAGTGTCTGGTTAAAGTCATTACTACTCCCAAGAAGATCAGCCCTGGCGAGCAGTTGGTGGTGGTTGGGGATGGCCCCTTTGCATGCAGATCTGCAGACTTGGAGAAGTACTTTGGACTCCCCCCGGAGCCTTGGGGGCTCTTGCTGTGACTTTGGCTTTTGGGGAACCTGGGACATTTCGCCTATGAAATCACTGAAGACATGATCCAATGGATATGTGTTCTCATTGGCTGCCTGCTGCCATCTGTCTGTTTCTGTCTTCTTATTTTTCGTGCCAGCACTGGGGCTTGAACTTAAGGCCTGGGTGCTGCAGTCCCTGAGCTCAACACTGGAGAATCTTACCACTTGAACCACATCTCCATTTCTGGCTTTTTGGTGGTTAATTTAAAATATAAGTACATGGACTTTCCTGTCTGGGCTGGCCTTGCACCTTGATCCTCAGACCTCAGCCTCCTGAGTAGCTAGGATTACAGGTATGAGCCACCAGTACCTAGATCTAAATTAAATTTCTTTGTTTTGTTTTTGGTCGGTCGTGGGGCTTGAACTCTGGGCCTGGCTGCTGTCCCTCAGCTCTTCAGCTCAAGGCAAGCACTCTACCACTTGTCTAAATTAAATTTCTAAACAAACAAGCAAATATATATTGCTCAAAAAAAAGTCACAGTAAACTACAAATGTAAAGACAGTTTGGGCCTTTTCTTCCCTTCCTTTCCCTCCCCTTCCTTTTCCTTCTCTTCCCCCTTCTAAGGCTGGAATTGAACCCCTGCCCTTACTCATGCTAAAGAGGTGCTGCACCACTGCACAAACCAAGGAAAAGGAACCTGAGGTGCAGGTCCGACACCTAAGTGATTTGGAAACAAAACTGTAAAATATCTAATAATTGTATCTAGTAATTATGGCTAGAAACTTCTCATTCAGAGCAGTGAAGGCTGACCTAGTAATTCATTTATTTTTATTTACTTATTTTTTGGGGGGGTCCAGTCGTGGGACCTGAACTCTGGGCCTGGGCGCTGTCCCTCAGCTCTTCAGCTCAAGGTTAGCGCTCTACCACTTGAGCCACAGCGCCACTTCTGGCTTTTTTCTTTTTGCTTATGTGGTGCTGAGGAATCGAACCCAGGGCCTCAGGCATGCAAGGCAAGCACTCTACCACTGAACCACCTTCCCAGCCCCAACCTAAGATTCATTTAATGGCTGTCTTCATCTACTTTTTTTTTTTTTTGATTGGTCATGGGGCTTGAACTCTGGGCCTGGGCTCTGTCCCTGTGCTCTTCAGCACAAGGCGAGTGCTCTATCACTTGAGCCACAGCACCACTTCCAGTTTTCTAGTGGTTTATTGGAGATACAAGTCTCACAGAGTTTCCTGCCCAGGCTGGCTCTGAACCACAATCCTCAGATCTCAGCCTCTTGAGTAGCTAGGATGACAGGCATGAGCCACCGGCGCCCAGCTCTCTCTCCTAATCAGCAGGGGAAATGTGGAATATCCATAAATATAAGGGACAGGAACTGTTCTCCATTGCCAGAGTAATGTCATTTCCTTGGTGATCATTAAGATCAGATAAAGTTGCTGGCCGCTGGTGGCTCATACCTGTAATCCTAACTACTCAGGAGGCTGAGATCTGAGGATCATGGTTCAAAGCCAGCCCTGGCAGGAAAGTCTGTCTGATCTCCAGTTAACCATCAGAAAACTAGAAGTGGTACTTTGGGTCAAGTGGTAGAGTGCTTGCCTTGAGCTGAAGAGCTGAGGGACAGCGCCCAGGCCCAGAGTTCAAACCCCATGATGGAGAAAAAATAAAAAAAAAAAAAAAAGATCAGATAAAGCAAGGCATGGAGGCTGGGAATGTGCCTTAGTGGTAGAGTGCTAGCCTAGCAGTCATGAAGCCCTGGGTTTGATTCCTCAGTAGTACATAAACAGAAAAAAAAACCAGAAGTGGTATTGTGGCTCAAGTGGTAGAGTGCTAGCCTTGAGTAAAAGAAGCTCAGGGACAATACCCAGATCCTGAGTTCAAGCCCTGGACTGGGGGGGGCGGGGAGGAAAGCCAGGCATGGTGGCTCACTCCTATAATCCCAACTACTGAGGAGGCTGAGATCTGAGGATCAAGGTTCAAAACCAACCTGGACAGAAAAATCTATGAGACTCTAATCTCCAATGATAAAAGGCTGGAAGAGCATTATTAGCCTTGAGCAAAAATAAAAAGTAAGGGACAGCACCCAGGCCCTGAGTTCAAGCCTGGCACATACGAATCAGATGGTGAGGGGACTTGGACATAGACTTTTGGGGGCTCACCACAGTCTGGTGACTTGCACCACCTTACCTCGATATCCCGGTTGAGCTGCTTCACGATGGCGGTTATGTTTCTGATGTGCTCCTCCAGGAAGAGTCTGGCCAGCCGGTCGCCGCCACCTTTGTTCTGCATTTTCTGCAGGCTGCTGACGATGTCATCTTTAATCCGGAAGGCGTGCTCCACCAGGGCGGCCGTGGTCTTCTCGTGGCACAGGATCCGGTCCTCCAGCTGCTCCACCAGGCTCACCGACGGGTAGGGAGCCATGGAGAGGGACTGGCTGTGTCTCGGCATGGTTCTCACACGCCTGCATGGGGACACAGGGACAGGGCTGGTCATTGTGGGGAAAAAAGCCACAGATCAAGCCAGAATGAAGACTTTCCCCAGACAGCGGGCACTGTGGCTCACACCTGTAATCCTAGCCACTCAGGAGACTGAGATCTGAGGATCATGGTTCAAAACCAGTGCAGGCAAAAAAAAAGTCTGGAAGATTCTTTTTTTTCTTTTTCTTGCCAGTTCTAGAGCTTGAACTCTGGGCCTGGGCGCTGTCCCTCAGCTCTTTTGCTCAAGGCTAGCGCTCTATCACCTGAGCCACAGTGCCACAGCTGCCTTTTTTCTGTTTATGTGGTGCTGAGGAATCAAACCCAGGGTTTCATGCATGCTAGGCAAGCACTCTACCAGTAAGCCACCTTCTCAGCCCCTGGAAGATTCTTTTTTTTTTTTTTTTTGTCAGTCATGGGGCTTGAACTCTGGGCCTGGGCGCTGTCCTTGTGCTTTTCAGCTCAAGGCAAGCAATCTACCACTTGAGCCACAGTGCCACTTCCGGTTTTCTAGTGGTTTATTGGAGATAAGAGTCTCACAGACTTTCCTGCCCAGGCTGGCTTTGAAATGCAATCCTCAGATCTCAGCCTCCTGAGTAGCTAGGATGACAGGCATGAGCCATCAGGTGCAGGCTGGAAGATTCTGATCTCCAATTAACCACCCAAAAAAAAGCCAGAAGTAGAGGTAGCTGAGATCTGAGGATCATGGTTTGCAGCCAGTCCAGGCAGGAAAGTCCATAAGACTCTCATCTCCAATGAACCAGCAAAAAGCTGGAAGCAGAGTGTGGCCCAAATGGTAGAGGACCAACCTTGAGAAAAAAAAGCTAATGGACAACATTTAGGTCCTGAGTTCAAGTCTCCCCCCCCAACCCCCCCCCCACAGAGTTCCCAAAGAAGGAAATACAAATTATCTATCCCAGTGTTCCTGGCCCTTTTTTTGTGAGCCTGAGAGGGTATGCAGATAATTGTACCCATGGACTTGACAGGAGTCCATGATCTCTATGAACCAGAGGCTGGCACAATGGGGCACACGGAGATGTCTCCCCAGGAGAAGCTGTCTTATCAAGATCAAGCTGACTGCTCCTCTTCCTTCCCGCTGCGTGTTTACAAACAGAAATGCCTACAGGGATGAGGCAGGGGCCAGGAGTGGTCGAAGCCCTCCATGCTCAAAGCCATAGGGAGCGGTGGGGACTTGGGGAAAATGAAAGGGACATTCCCCAGCTAAAGGGAGTTACGATGCCTGGCCCGTGAATGGCTATCTGGAAATTCAGTCTTAAATGGTCACATCATCTCACAATTAGAAAGAAAGAGGGAGAGAAAGAAAGAAGGAAGGAAGGAAGGAAGGAAGGAAGGAAGGAAGGAAGGAAGGAAGGAAAGAAGGAAGAAAAAGGAAGGAAGGAAGGAAGGAAGGAAGGAAGGAAGGAAGGAAGGAAGGACAAGGAAGGGAAGATTTAGAGACTTGTGATTGAAGTAATCTCATTTTTGAAAGTTGACCCTTTAACCAGATGCTGGTGGCTCACACCTGTAATCCTAGCTATTCAGGAGGCTGAGATCTCAGATCACAGTTTAAAGCCAGCCCCAGGCAGGAAAGTCCATGAGACTTTATCTCCAATGCAACACTAAAAAGCCAGAAGTGGAACTGTGACTTGAGTGGTAGAGCACTAGCCTCAAGCATAAAAGCTCAGGGATAGTGCCCAGGCCATGAGTTCAAGCCCCAGCACACACACACACACACACACACACACACACACTTCTTGGTAGATATGGCAGCCACCAGGTTCCCTCTCCCGTGGGTACCACACCCGCTGTGAGCCCTCTGGGGTTGCTGGGAGGTAGGACTATACCTTAGATGCATATTTTCCAAATATTCTACCTTTCCTCAGTGACTCGAGTAGGAAGCGCAGTGTTCCGTCTGGCCATTTTCTTTTTAAGAATTCACATCTGTTGGAAAACAGGAACATTAAAAATGCCGAACAGTTCACATCTCAAGCTTCATGACCTCCCAAGCTTCTCATTGTGTTCCTGGAGCAGTTCATCCATCACACGCAGATCAAGTAGGTTAGAAAATGCTTTGTGTCTTACCTATGCAATAAACAGCACATGGACCCAGAGAAGAAGAAGACAATCTAGCAGAAATCAAATGCTCCTGAAATGAATGCTACTAATCCTTCCTAGACAGATCAACAAGGATACTGAAATGAAGTTTCCTTATACTACATCTGCATACCACACTTGAAAAAAGAAACCGTTCTGCACAAACATTTCTTTCCTTCCATCCTTCCTTCTTTTTTTCCTTCCTTCCTTCCCTCTCTTTTTTCCATTCCTCCCTCCTGCCCTTCCTTCTTCCTCCCCCTCCCTTTTTATCCTTGGTCCTGGAATCGAACCTAGGGCCTTGAACAGGCTAGGCAAGGGTTCTACCACTGAGCTATATACTGTCAGAGGCCAAAGCAGTCTCTAGAGTAGATTTTTTTTTCAATCTTGTGCCTCTTTGTAGAAATTTTCAGGAAAATATATTAGTAAATTGGATCTCAATGGCTTCCATGACAATTAAGAACACTTGTTTCTGAATTAATCTAAAATAAACATAACACATGATCAACAAGATCTGATCTGGCAGAATGTATCTATGAGAATTGCTTTCTTCCTGAACACTTCATTATGAGCTGGGTGCTGGTAGCTCACATCTGTAATTCTTTTTTTTTTTTTTTTTGT